TTGCATCTTTAATTTGGGTACATGAACAGTCAAAACAATCCTAATGCTAAGCTTATCTCCAGAGACTTCAGCTGAGTTGAATTCTGAATTGCACCAAATGACAGTGCTGAGGTGGGAAATGCTAATGGTATTGTCCCCCTCAGCAGGGTCCCCAAGCTCATTAAATGTACCTGAGATACAACGCACCTTGTACAGCCATATATTAACATTGTCATTACAGAAAACCATAGTCTTTAGGAAATTCAGGGCTCCATTTGTATATTCACATGGTAAGAGAGAGTTGTCTGGCCTTATGAGCACTAAGCACAAAAATGAAAACTATGGAAGGCATCAGGGAGAAAGCAAAGCTCTATTTTCAAATGTGGGAATAAAAAACCAGACAGGTTAAGTTTCTTACTCAAGGTCAAGCAGAAAGAGCTCAGAGTGTGGTTCAGGAATTAGTTCAGATTGCCTGAATTCTAGACCATGGCCTGAACTGTAGGAACAAATGAGCTTTCCCCACACATTAGTCTAATCCAAGCATCATATAACAGCACAAGTAGTCAAAAGCAAGCCAAAATCTACTCCCAGTGGAGTGACTTTGTCAAGTGAGAACTGAGGCAGACGTGGAATGTCAAAGACTTTTGGCTGTCACTTTATCGAGACAAAAAATAAATTAAAGGAGGCACTTTCTCTGTGAATTATCTGTAATGAAACAGCCAAAGCCCTGAACCTTTCCACCCTGAATGTCTTTACCGTCCATTTCCTCAGCAAAGATGTATGAGCAATCAGATGAAACAAGTTTGAAAGCCATTGTGCTGAATAGCGTTGTTCTGGAGGCTGCAGCTTTCAGTGTCTCTGCTGAAGCAGTACAGCAAGCACAAGTGTCTGATGTTCATACAAATAACTCAAACACACAAATAACAATTGGGTTTGTGATAGGCAAGAGACCTACATGACCATGCGATGAGGAAGGCACGCAGAAACAACACCCACTTAATAAAATTCCTCTATTTTCTACAACAGAGCGGCAAAATATGTCAGGGACATTGGATTGAAGAACTTCAGTAGGAAAATGTCTTTGTAATTTTTGGATTTGGGTTTCTTTTGTTGCTGTGCAAAAATGAAGTAAGGATTCAGGTTGTTTAGGCTGAGAAACAACTCTGTTGTTGAACACTGCAGTGTGAGAGGTACCAGCCATGGGTCTGTGCATACAGCCCTGGCCAGGGCAAAGGATTAACCTTTAAACTGGCAGCATTTTGAGGCAATAGGAAAATTTGCTTTTAAGCATAACTAGTTTTCTCCTGTGCTGCCATTTATTGACAGAGATGCTGTTGCTATCCTCTTAGCTCAATGGAAATTTAAGAGCAAAATTACCAGTGTAAGTAAGTATTGTGCTCTGCTTATTAAAAACTTCCATAATGCTTCATACAATGGGACGTATGCGAATTATAAAAGGAAATATTGATGCTTCCTGGCTGTTGTCACCCAGTAAGAATATCATGATGATTACACACAGATTAATAGGAGAACTAACCTGGACAAACCTTTCCAATAATAGGACCAAAGATATTAAGTGCAAGGTGACTTTGCAAAAAGTTTTTAAGAAGTTATACAGAAACCCTAAAAGGTGACAGGAAAATTAGACCACTTTGGAAAGCATTCTTACATTCAGATCATTTAAATATGAGTTGTTGGTTGTTTTTGCTTTTAATGATATTTATATGCTGCCAGATATAAATGCTTCACAGGAAAATTTCATGTGAGTCAGGGTTAGAGAAACTGGGCCAGAATCCCAGCTCTCAGAAATCAGCAATGCTCTACACACTGCTGGTTTTTGTGCCTGCCCCCTCTTCACTTGCACAGACTTCAGTGATTATTTTCCTTTTGTGTTTTCTTCAATAGCAGAACACTTCTGAATGCCTTGTCTTTGTATTTCTCTTCAGATATCTTTTACTGACATTGTGTCATTGTCAGAATGACACAGTCCCGGCCCTCAGCATCACCACAGGCACAAGCAGGCTCTACAAGAAACCCCTGCGCTGTAGTTCCTGCCCCTGAATCCCACACCTGAGTGAAAACAGTTTTTTACTGCCGCCATTTACCTCTCCCTCCCCTCTTAGCAAACGCCTCCACTACAGAGATGCAGTGACTTTTCAGGGCCTCCAGTGAGCCTGCCTCTGCAGTTTGTTCTTCTTTTCAGACACCACTGGGTCCTTAGATGGAGCAGAAAACCCTAGAAAGATAACAGGAGTACAAATCTCAAACGAACTCTCGTACCTTGGCTCACCAGCTTCTTATTGTTTTTTTTTCCTGCAGGTCAAGTGGAATATAGGCATGAAAAAAGAGAGCTGGGAGGCTGCAGTGTATGGAGCAGCTCTGCAGATCTGAAGGCTTCAAACAAACTGTCTCGGAGGGATACAGGAGATGTTAAGATGCAAAGGGACTACAACATAAGCAAAGGCCGCTGTTTTTTTCCATCCTAAAAGATATTAACTGTGACGCAGGCTAAAGGAAGAGTCCCCACCAGGGTCAAGCACTTAAAAATACTGACCACCACTCCAGGGGGCAAGGGTTGAATAGGACACACTTTCTTCATATACCATTGGGAAAAACTGCATGTGCATACACAGATATATCCAGCCCTTTTCAACTTGCTTGATGCCTTCTCTTCAGCAAAAATGGAGTGGCGCAGATTTTGTGGATGCTGAACATCCTGGATTGTACTATGCTGTATACCTGTGCTGGGCAGAGCTAAACAGAAAATGGCAAGTTCTTGTTTTGTGATACCTCTGCCTTGTTTGCAAGGGAAAGAAACTTCCTTTTGAGAAGTGGGGTTGGACTAAACAATCTCCAGAGATCCCTTCCAAGCTCAATTATTCTGTGATTCTGTGAAATCAATATCTATTCCATAAAAGGGTGGTTGTTCTTTTGCTGGGTTGTTTAACTTTTCTAGTGAGTGGTGTGATTTTTGTTACTGAAACAGTTAATTCAGTAAATGCTTTAGTGTATATACAGTTATGCTGCTATAACCACAGTTTATTCTCCTATAGCTTGCATATAGCTGGGCAAATTTTCTTCTTTGTTGAATATTTCTTTTGCTGCAACAGCAGTCCAAAGTCATTGTCAGATTGGGTCAAATTCACCCAAAAGTTTTGTTGGTTGCTCTGTAAACTCTTTATATTGACAAATCTAGGAGCAGGAGGTCAAGATTCATCTAGCAGGGAGAGTAATCAGAAAGGCTGGGGGTTGATCAATATTGTTTCAGCCCTCAGAGCAATTCCTAACCTCTTCCTTATCAGATATACTGAAAGAAGGCCCCCCTTTAAGATCTCCACAGAAGCTGACTCACTCATCAAAACATACTTTATGTACTCCCTGATACACAGCATGAGGAAGACTCCATCTCCTAATGGAGAAGGTGTTGCTTTCAGACTCTGGTGAATACTGAAGCAGGGTTATCAAAAAAGATCAGAATCAACAGAAAAGACAGAACAATTCACAGGAGATCCCTGTATAACAGAGTGGTCAGGGCATTCTTACAGCATATGTGAATTCAAATGCTCAGAGCAGGACGAGCAGGACATTTGCCCTGAGTTTCCCACACTGTGGGTGTGGGAATTGTCTCTCCCTCTGACTATTGGCATAATTCTTGGATAGTTTTGTGACTGAATTCTCAGATTACCCATCTCCTTCTCTCAATCTGTTTCAAAACTTTGCTGAGAGTAGAAAGGCGATGCAATGAACACTTTTTTGGGGGTATATAACAACATCTTTCTTGATTTTTTTTTTTTTAAAAGCCTGGAGACTTTGAATCTTGTTTTGGACTTTTTATTCTTCATCTTTAAACACAGAAATCAATAATTTATCCAGCTGAAACTATATGTTTATACTGTTATGACAGCATCTACAATAGCAATGTTGTGTGACTGTCACTACTGAAATAAAGTGACCACATTGTGGAGAAAATGAACATTCAGGTCAAACAACTGCTTCAGGTTAGATATGATTTATTATATGTTATTGCCTTTACAAATCAGGACACCTGTTTACTGGGGAAAGCATCAATAATACAGATGTAAAAACCCCAACACACCCCCTACAAAACTCAGCTCCAGAGGTCATCCTCATTTCTCTTTCCCCACTACAGATGACATTTACTATGGAGAGACCCAGAAGTAATTTCCATGAATACTCTAATTAAGGGATGTACATTGTACCCTAGTGTAAAAGCATAGCTGTTTTAGGTTTTATTGGCTAGCTACACAGGAAAAAGGGTAGAAAGTTAAAGAAATCAAATTGGATTAGGGAAAAAGAGAAAATAGCTACTTCGTGAATGTTATTGTTTGGGATCCTACAATTAAACATAGATGAAGAAGTGCTGAGGAATAAAAACAGGTGAAAAGTTTTTAAACATATTTTCTAAGGATTCAGAAATGGAGGGAGCAGAACAGTGAAATACCAAGTTAAGTTACAGATGTAACAAAAACACAAGCTCTGATCAGAGTCTGAATCAGCTTCACATTTGCAATCAATTTCAGACTTAATGCTGCTGATGACATCTTGAGATTTCATCCACAAATGCCTAAACAATATGTACCAACTTGTGTGACAGGGACAGATCTGCACATGTACTTTTAGCCATGTTTGGTTGAAAGACAGTGGCAAGTAAAAATGGAAATTCAGTTTCAAACACAGCAAGAGGTCAAAAGCACAGGTAAGGTTGGGGATTAGGATTCAAACCTGCACTCTCCAGTTCTACTGTGAAATTCCCAAACCAAACCAGTTCCCAGTTTTTATCAACTTCTCCCAGCAACACAACACACTTTCAGTCTTATAATCTCCATACATCATCCATTACCTTTTTGAGCATACACCACCCCAGCTACATCGTGGAGCTGACTGACTTTATTCCACACCCTCTTGGTTTACCTCTTTACCATTTTACAAACTTTGTCTGGCATGAATCAGACTCAAATACACCCATGGGGCCTGGGATGCAACATAAAAATAGAGCCTACCTCTTCCAGCTGCACCAGGAAAGTGACATTGTGTCCTTGCTCGGCTGTCAGTTTGCCGTCAGATGTGATTATGCGAAGGCCCTGGGGGGCTTTGCCAGGACATTGCTGTGGTTTTGCTGTGTACCGTTCTCTCACACCATCCGTGCAGTTATTAGAAACAACTTTCCGGTATCTGCAAAGGAAAAGAGAAATCTGTGCAAGATGCTGACAGGAAGCATAACAGGGTTAACCGGGAACAGGGAGGCATTTCTGAGGTTTCTTTAGACCAAGGAGATTGGAAGAAAACAGATTCCCAAATATATTTTAGCATTTGTCTCAGCCACGCATTCCCCATGTGCCTAACATACAAGTAGTCAATACTGTTGTTAATGGCATGTAACATTTTCCTGCGTAGCACACCTATATACCACGTATTAATAAATTGCCTAAAACATAAAATTATATGATGATCTATGTTACATGTTAAATAACTATAAAGTTATAAATAAATGTTATACACATACAGTATGGAATTGTATTCAATTATTATACTGTTAGGCATAGTTTAACAGCTTTTCTCACATGCTCTCCACTTCTCATCAGTTGTGAGGCAACTCTCTCTAAAGATGTAACCCTCGACAGCTACAAAAATAAGAGAGTTGAAGAAAAAAGCAAATTCTGCCTATCTTTGAGTGTACAAAATGCCAAAACACAGTTTGGGTTCCTGTGTTTGCTTTAATCACTTGCATCAGAAATGAAATTTGAGGTCAGTATCTTAACTTAAACTACATCTTCTACTGACTTCAAAAGGGCCAAAGAATAATCAGCATTCAGGCTAGCTACCCATCTATTACTTCAGTTCACATATACATCAATTTCATCTCTTTCCTCTAATTTGTTTTCCACCATTTCTGCCTCACCTGATCCTACATGATTTTAAGAGGAGTCTTTTCAGAGACTTTAATGATCTGGCCTTTGCCTTACAGTTTTACCCCCAAGTTTCTTTAAGGCATCATTTTTTCAGGGAAAGGTCTGGACCATATATGATGGAGATCTGGAGTGCCAGACTGTACACCCTAACAAACTCAGTGAAGAGGTCCCAAGGGCTTCAGCCAGCTTTGAGACACCTATAGTAAATGCAATCTGTAGTTGTCATGGGGTTCAAGTCTGTATGGGTTCTCTAGCTAAATAAAGTCTGGTGTGCCACTTACCCAGTGCTGTTGAGATAACTCTGTCCAAGGCTACAATCTTTCGACAAGGAAGATGGGTTATACCAAAATGCTGGTAAACACTGCCCATTGCTGTGACGTTCATATCCATAATCACTGTTTTAGCATTAAAAGAAAGAGTCACATAAAAACCCAGAAGAACAAATACAGGTATTAGCTCATGCTCTCTCCTATTGATACAAGTTTTGATTTTCCTCAATCTGTTTACTAGGATTTCTGATTTTTTATTGATATAACAACAGATTCTTCATCCTGCTTTAGCTTTCTCTGGGGGGGTAGAGTTACCTTACATATGTCCCAGTATAAATGACCAGAACCAGACCAGGTAGTTCATGAGCTATTGCATTATCCATTCTTCCTCCCAGTCTAACAGTGCTTCTCAGGTTCAACTCTAGCCTCAAATATAATAAAAGCCAGAGATCTAAACTAAGTTCAATCACTGCTGTCTCAGTCATGTCTTAGAAAACTGAAGTGCTAAATAGTTAATTGTATTTGGAAACTATATCACATGAGCTGCAGAGGAAATTTTACAGCCCTGAGAGAACTCTCGACTGAAGGCATTAACAGCATATTTGGTAATGGAAAAGGCGGCTACGATCTTCAATTCTATTTTTGTTTGGAAAAGGAAATGCTACCAAAAATCATGTGTTAGAAACAATGAGCCAAACTGTAATCTTTTGTCCCAATTTGGGTTTAGTTATGACTAGATTTGCTTTGGTTCTACTAAAAATAAACAACAGTTCAAATTGTTTTTGATTCCAGGTAAACAAAGACTCTATAAAAATTGTTATTGTGGAACAAATAAACAAACAAAAAGCCTTTTTAATCAGTATTCCATTCACATGTGGTTTTACTTTCTAGCCATTGAGTAATGAGGACTGTTTGGTTGGAAAATCATTCTTATTCCTTTTACTAAGCTTTCTCCATAGCCCATAACAGAGAAGTTAATGGGATGCCATTTCTAAGAACTGCTATACAGAGTCCACCAACTCCATTCCAATATTCCAGTTGCAACATGATCCTTGATCTTAAAATGGCACTTCTTTGCAAAGCACTTTTTTTGCTTATTATCTTTAACGTCTTGCTATCAAGTAGCCTGATATTCTAAGAAAAGAGGATTAGGGCAGCATTAGATTATGTGATTAAAGGCTCATCTCTGTATACGTAAAAAAGCAGAGAGGAAAAACAGGAGGCAGAGGAACCCCAATAACCTCGTCAGAGCCAGTGGAGCCCCTGCCCCGGCTCCTCCCAGGGCTGTCACAGGAGAGCCATCAGTCCATGGCTGGGGAGAGGCCTACCAGATCGTCAACAGGGGAGGCTCTCCCCAGATCACTTTGCAGATCACTGAGCGGGGTTACTGCACACAGGGGTACGGGGCTCATTATGCCATGCCAGGGAAGAGCATCTGGCATCTCCATTTCTATTTTCCTGGGTGAGGGGCTATCTGTTCTGTGTGCATGTGCGTGTGGTGGTCTGTCTCAGCAAATGGACTCAGACCACGGGTCACAGGGGTCCATGTGCCCGCACTGCCAGCAACTGGAATGACTGGAGTGTGTGCATACTGCGCAGGTGAGCACCAAGCCAGACAAGCCAATGAGTAGGATAAAAGACTTGGGAGCTAGGTGCTGATGTGGTCATAAGTCTGGGCTGGATACTAGGTCCGTGAATTGGTTATTGGAGAGATCAAGAGGTCTGGGGGAACGGCTACTGGTGTAAAGCCATATAGGTCTGGACCTGCTTGTGAGACCTGTTATGTGTGCGTATGTCTACGTATGAGGCAAGTGGGGATGTCCGCTTGTCAGCAACTGGGGAGACAAGGCATCCAGGGGCCAGATACTGGACAGCCCTGGGTGTCTAAGACCAGGCACTGGTGGGATCAATATTGTATGTATGTTTACAGTGCACATATTTTCCACAGATGGGATTTCATCTTGATCAACCAGAGGGGGGAACAGGATGAGGCAACAGTTGTTTGTGTGAGTGCTGTGTTTTCTGTTTGTGCTAATCTGTGTCACCAGCCATGTACATATGCATGTATGTACTGTGTGTACATGCATATGTGTGCCTATCAGGAACAAACGCTCAACCTTGCTACGGCCTGGGTCAGGGGACACGGAGCTGCAGCAGCCTCACCTCTGTCAGGTGATATTTGTAGAATAATATTAACAACAACAAGAATGTTTAACATTATGAAGACTTTTTTCAAATGCCTTTTCCTTTCTGGACCAAAGCATGATGGCTTAAAACAAAAATTTAATGAATCACTATTAAACAATTTTAAGAAGTCTGGTACTGATCTAAGATATGAGACAAAGAAAAAAAAAAGGATAGAATATTTTGTAATTTATTTTTGTTAAATTTCTTATACTTGTTATCAAAAGCAGGACATTGAGAAGAATTTTGTCACCACTTTTTACTCCTGCCTGCAACTTTTCCTTCTGAATCAAGAAAAAAAATGTTTTAAGGTAATCTAAAAAAGAAGAAATTAAGAAGATGACATAAAGCAAAAGAAAATTAAAGCTGCATATCACTTGGGAAAACTCCTAAGCATCTATTAGACTGTATAACTGTTCCAAAGGAACATTTTGGCAGCTGTGGTGTTTGGGATATCTACAACAAGTAATTGAGAATAGACTCTAGGAAACAGCAATGAAGTAGATGACCTAAGAGGTCTTTTCCTCAGTTTTTTGATTGAATTTTCATCAATCTATTTACTCAGATGCTAGTCACTGAATGTTGCTTAATTGCTTTGGAAGCATCAGCCAGCCTATTCTCCCACTGCCATGTGCTTCTCTAATCATCTTTGTTGGAATAAGAACACTATAGCTGCAGAATACACTTTATAATGAAGAATAACACCATTCTGATTTGCTTAGAGAAAACAAATATTTACATACAAGCGGGACTCCTGTATTTTTGTAATTCATTTGTCAACACTGCAGCACTGTATTGCTAAGTTATCATGTGTCACTCTAATTAAAAAGCTGTAACACTGTACACACACAATGTTCTGTAATCAGTTAGGTGAAAACAAACCAAAATAATACAGTGAAATCTGCCTCAGAGGGGATCAGTACCCCTTTTTTGCAAATCATCTGGCTCATTAAGGCCCTACAGAAATATCATCCCAGTAAATGACATGAATTGCTGTTCCGTATCTCTCTACAGATGCACCAGCCGCCCGTTCACCTCTGCAGTCTTGGAATCTAATGAATTCCTTGGCTACAGGCTGGTGCATGCAGAACACTGATGCTGACAACAAATTGCTGCCTACAATTTGGCACAACAGGCTTTGTAGCAATCAACAAGCATTAGCATCAATTGGATTGCCATAGCACAAGCCAGTATAGCAAAACCTGGAGTCAGGGAAGGCATCAGCTTTAGACTGCAATCAGCTAGCCGAGTCACTGCCTGGTAACTGGGAATTGGAATTTGCATATAGTGATGATATTTTGTGCCTGCCTGAAAAGAACTCAGGTGAAATAGATAATGTACCTATCAAAAAAGAGTGGAGCATTTATCAGCAGGGATTGTTTTATCAGTATGAAGCAGCCTGTCTCATGGCTCTCACTGACGGTGGTTTTATCCTGGCAACTTTTACTGGTTTAAACTGGAATCCTATTTGTCTTAGTCAAGTAGGATTGCAAGTCCTTCTCTCTAATTAGAGACAGATACAAATTCATTCCAGAAGTTCTGCATCCCTGCTCAAAGCTCATGGTAAATTCCCTTATCTAAGATTATTTGCAGCACAGGTAACAATCAAAGGAAAAGAAATCCCTTAAGGAAGTTTGTAGTTCGAACACAGACCTGACAAACATACTGTCATGGAAGAACTATAAAATCATGTGAAATTATTAAAATCCCACTGTTTTAAGATATAGAAATAACCAGTTAAGTCAGATGAGTGATTGCCATGCTCATACCTTCTAAAAATCAAAAGATGACTTAACATGTAACCACAGAACTTCTTTAGCACTAACAGCTTCACCTTAAGGTCAACTATGCCAGAAACTGAAAATGCTACTTGTGGTTTTGTATGCTGTGCTTTGCAAACTTTTCAGATATTAAATGGGGTGGAATCGAGGTATCTGTGATTATAGTCACCTTTGTTCTGCAGTTTCCAAAAGCCCTTGTGGAAAAAAATAACTGTGGCCACAGCCGTGGAAAAGTCTTTCTTACCACCTTTTTATTCACTTCATACCATTGTCTAATATTGAACTATGATGCAAATGTAGATTTGTGTTAAAAGGGAGCTGTGCTTGCTTCCCAGTTCTATAGGATCTGACATGGGATTTATCTCACAGAAGGATGGATTCAGCTGCAGTTTGAATTATGGATCTATGAAGGCATATGATTATAATTGCATCACAGTATTTGGAGTCAAGCTGTACCAGCTTATGTTAATAGGGAACCTAAAAACCCCAGAATCTTTCCAGTAAATCCATGCCTGGTAGATACCTAGGTCCCTAAAGATGCAGAGATGCACCCTAGACTTTGCATAGTGAATCTGCATTTTCCACAAGCATTCAAAATGAACTAAAAATTCATTCAAAATTACTATTCCTTAGCTAATGAAGCCTACCTCAATGATAAAGCAAAGTTAGTTAACCTAAAGGCGCAGATGTACGTGTATTTCAGAGCTGGCATCTGCATGATTGTCTGAACTGATGAGTGGTAACCCACGAAGCCAACAGATTCTAATCACATTCAGTATCTGCCTTCTACCTCCCTGCGGTTTGTCAGGACAGTTTCACATGACACAGGACTCTGATGTTTTAGCATAAGAACTAAACCTAGCAGGCAGGTCTGTAATTTAAGTGCCAGACAATAAAAAAAGAGCTAGCCAGATCCTTGCTGATATGATCAGTGAAATAAATAGGCCTGATTCTCAATTGCACTAAGGCTCCTTTGCGCATCTCTGGCTATCCAAAGTCTCTAGCACCAGCGTCAACAGGCTTATACTTCCCACGAAGGTGTGAGATATACAAATACTGATAGGAGAAGCCCTCAGTATTAATGACAGTAGGTTCAGAGGGAGGACTGACAGTGCGACACTTAACTCAAAGTTTCTATTAAAGGACCTGGGAGACAGGTAGCTGAAGGATGAACACCACCAAAGATTTCCATCCGCGTCTAGGAGATGCTTCTACTGAAGAGATACTGCTGTAATAATGTTCAAACTGCAGGAAGGAACACGACGTAAGGAAACCGGGTAAATTAATGCTTTAATAACACACAAGTAACGGTGTCATCCATTTACACAAATCAATTAAATGAATAAGGACAATCTCGTTTCTAGGCCGTTGCTGGAACAGATTTGCCGAGGGCTTCTGCACATTTCCACTTCCCCCTATTCCTGGAGCACTGTTGCCCTCTGGCTGTGAGCCTCAGCCCCTGCATGGAGAACAAATACCTGCCGCTTCAGCCCTGTCCCCAGCTACTTTTGGTTCTAGCCCATGATAAGAGATGTCTACTGTCAGAAGAGTTCAGGTCCCCAAGGCTAGAGAAACTACAGTCATTTCTAATGTCATTCAGTTTTGTTGCTGTGTAAAACAATAAACAAATGTGCCCTTTTCTCTGAGAAAGAACTACCATGGGCTGAATACAGATTTGAAATGAACCTGGAGTTCTATGATATTACTAGGAGAAAAAAACATTACAAAATCTTTATGTCTTTTATAACTGGCATTTTTCCCCTGAACTGATAAAAAGGCACTCGCAGGATTAACAGCAATAACACTTTTTTTTTTTTTCACTTTACCTGAGCACACAGATATGTTTTTTAACTCCAAGCTCTGACAAGCTTAGATAATAAAATTTTCTCCATATAAATTCATGGTCTAAACAGCAAAGAAAGTCCTACTCTGACTGGGGCAGGGATTGTTGTCTTCTTTAATTCTGTATACAAGTCTGGGTCCTGTAACCATTGATGTTAATATAAAAAGCCACCCGGTTTATTTCAAGATTACAAAATCACATGTAGTCAGCTAAGGGGCTTCTCCCTGCGTGGGAGATACATGTCCCCTTCAATCTCCTTCAATTAAGAGCCCTGCCCAGCAAAAAGAGAAGTAGGGAATTCAAAAGCACTGCTGAAATATCATGAATGAGGATGATGAAAATGCTTCTTCCTGTTGCAGGAAGGACCCCACAGAGGACATCCTTCCACAGCAAGAATTCATTCACTGATTTTCCTCCAAATGCCTCTTTGGACCAACTTCTCCAGGGTGCATCGGCAGTGAAGCCCAGTGCGGAGTTCAACAAGGCAGGCACTGAATGGTACAGCGCAGCAGCAGCTTTGCCTTTCTTAGCACAATCAAACTGGGCTGAGAAATTCAGTAGAGCCAGGAGAATTGCTTTTTTCTTGCCATGTCTCTTCTCCTTCCTTGATAAACCTCTGTCTCCTGTTCCCTGTTGGCTTTTCTGTCCTCCTCTGGCAAATCTATGTAAAACTATGCTCCTGACTGTATTAAGTAGATAAATAAGTGATGAATATTGCTGGTAAATATTTCTGAACTGGATGCTTAAAGCAATGTTTCAGTCTTTTTTTCCTCAGAGGCGCTGGGGAAGGAAGCTGAAATGGATAAAGTAAAAATCCAGATCTGAGGACTGTAGGAAGGACAAGAGCTCAGAGAGAATTGGAGGGGATCACGGACAGCCTGCTCTAAACCAAAACTGGTTCCATCAGAAGGAGGAAGGCCCTCCTAGGTCAGGAAGGCTTTCTATCAGTCAGCTCAGCACAGAGACCTGCAATATTTTTAAGGGTATTTTTCTCAGGCTATTTTTAACAAGACGACTTTTGCAAAGTCCTAATTCTGCCTCTTCCAACAGATTTGAGGGGTCTTGCTGGTGCGTGTGAACTGTGAACATCTGTTGTACATCCCCAATCACCCAAGCTTTCTCTTAGAGATTGTCTCACAACCCAGCAGACCTTTTGGAGAAAGTTTCCTTGAAATGAATGTAAAAGAAAGCATGTTTCCCCCAGCAAATGTCACCGTGGTACTTTTGTTCTGTACCTAGCAACCAAGTTTTGTAGTAGCAAACCACATAACCAATTTCATTGAAATAAAAACATACATTCTTAGAGAGAAACAAGTTATGGAAGGAAAGCGTATTTTTATCAGAAGTGATAAAGTTGAGTGTCTGTCCCTTAAGAATGTAAGGGGTTTAACCACTAACGGATTGACCATGAGTCAATCCCACCAGCTAATTTCTTGAGCTGGGCATGAGCTTGGCATAGCTATGTACTGCACGCCGTACAGGAAGGTCAAAATCTCCAGGGAATTTCCTTCCTATTCATTTTTTTTCTGGTTGGCTGCTATCTTTTTTACATTACCAGAGATAGGTTAAATGGCTGAAATCCAGGACCTTTGGGCACCTACATGATGAACTACACACAGAACTGAGGTATCTTCTCCCTAACAAAGAACTCACTGGAAGATGGGGAAGTCATCAGGAAACCATATTCAGAGAATCAGTGTGCTCATAATTTTTATTATTTGGTGCAAGAAGATTTACTTTTTTTGACACATGGAAAAGCCTCCTGTGATTCTGTGATTTTATATAGAAAAATCAATATAACTACAGTTATGGGAGGGTGAGAAGGGAAATGCCGTAAATTTCCATGGTACTGGAGTGAACTCATATAGCAAGAAAGAAAATATTTATGAGATGAACTGCTTCAGGGTACATGTTACAGTTTCTGGGTTTAATTAATAACTTGCCATAGAAGTAGCTGGATGAGGCACAAAGGGGGTTTATCAGCACTGCCAAAAAGCCGCCATTTCTCTCTTCTGGGATACTCAGGACTGTCTCAGACTTGGAGAAAACAGGTGATAGAGAGATTTCAATAATGTGGTTCCCTGCCTTTTTTGTGCAAATTGCTGTGAGTCAGCAGCGATCTCAAAATGAAACTAGAACCTGAACATCTTATCATGCCATTCATAACTCACCGATGGACTCTATTTCCTATGGCATACAGCAGAGGAGAAAAGGCTTCAAAAGGAGATTAACCCAAATCATGAAGGCAGTGTCTGTTAGATACTATCAAACATGATGGTCCAGCTATAACAAATGACCCAGGAATTCCCTAGATACTTGATTTCCAGAAGCTGAAGGCCTACTTTGCATATGCATATATTTACTTTTACACATATACACATATGTGTGTGTGTATGTATGAAGAATTTATTTTATTTTTTACGCACACTATATATGTCTTACATACTACTTTCACAGCCACCCCTGGTCATTGCTGAGGTTAGATGTGCTAAATGGACCTTTTATCTTAATGCTGCACAGAGCTCAGATGTCACCTGGAAAATGGTCTGTTCAGCGTCAATTTTGTGGGAGCCTTAGCAGATTACAGATATCTGTTCCACCTTTCTTTCTTCTGACATACCTGCACTATCAGGGAGCAACCTATTTAGCCACTTATATGTTTATTAATATCAGCTCTCTGCAAGCCTACAGCCTCTCTAGTGAGCTCTGCATTGGTGTGGTAGAGAGCACACAGTTCTTGTGCTCATTGCTCACCAGTCAAAGTCTGCCTCTGTGCACACGCATGGCTCCGAGGTCATAGCCCCAGCATATTTTCCTTGCATGCATTTCTTCTCTGACTTGCGCTTCCTGTAGATCCTTTTTGCTCCCATGATGCAAGCTTCTCCCTGGAAACAAAACCAAAAATATCTTTCTCTGACACCCACCAGGCTATTTGTATCACCCAATTTTTCCAAGCCTGTGTAATGGGAGCTGTGACTCAAGGGAAGAGAATGGGAAGTCAAATGCCATGTCAGTACACTGAAGCTAATTAAAGCTACTGAAGCTTTAACTGAAACTAAAACAGCTTTTCCAATACACCCTAAGAAATGATCTGAGGTTACTTATGTATCTGATTCAGTTCTGAATTTGTTCCAAAGCCAATCAGCAATTGATTCAGGCCTATTTCTCATTTATAGATTAGGTTTCACAGCAACTGAAAACACAGCCTGATCCCTCTGCAATCTGAGACACAGAGCAGGTCTATTTCTTTGGTCTGATCTCTTCGGCAATCATTTTGTTCAGTGGGAACTAGTAATATGTGTATACGTAAATACTTTCCACAGACTATGAGTTCAGGTTTTACAGGGTTTGACTTGTTACGTGGATGATAACATTTCCTTGTCTTTTCACTCCTATCTTCAGCACCCTGTTAAATATTTCTATGTAGGGAACAAGGCTCAGCCTTGTAATCTCAATGGAAAGCAGATCAAAAGGCAAGAGTCCACAGCAGTCTTCCTAAAAATAGTTCTGCAAGCTCCAAAGCCAACATCCTCAAAGATATACTGCAAAATCCTTGGTATTTTTGCTTATGCAAGCACAAGAAAGTAAAGAACAAAATACAGTGGGGTCTCACTTGTTACCTTTTATGCTGCTAAAATCACTGTAGGAAAGAGAAACTTTTCATGGCTTTGATTTGCCCATGAAACAGAAGGGCCTGAATGGCAACTGGTGTAAAATGCTGTGCCTCCTTGAATTTCAAGGAAGCTGTACTCATTTTCAACATCTAAGGATCTAAGTCATAACTGGTATTTTTAGTGTGGAGTTGTGCCTTGTGTGAGCAGCTAGTCTGAGTCAAGCTACTTTCATTTCATATTCATTATTAAATTCTTGCCCAGCAAGATATATACAGAAAGACAACCTTTGATGATATAAATGGGTGTTTTCACTTTAGACTTCAGTGGAGCCTGTGGTGTTTATATAACCACAGAATTTGGGCCACATTTTATTCTAACCTGATATAACACAGACTGTTGAGTCAAACTTGACAGAGCTGGGAAGGTGCCCCAAGGCAGGCACAGGCACCATGTGGAGCACGTTACCTTGCTGGGCACTTAAGCAATGGTTCCAGGAGTGATGCAGCAGCTGCATCCAGGATGAAAGGGACAGGGCATGGCGGCCCAACGGACTGAGTAATAAAGTGCCCGACTCCCACAGCAGAAGTATCACTGCTGAGAGAGACAGAACAAGGATGAAACCAAGTGAGTAAGAAATGAGGCCAAGAGGGCAGGAATTTGGAGAAAGAAGTGTGAAAGCAACCAGAAGGGTCTTAAGACACTGGCTCTGAAGACAGAGAAGGACGAAGGAAGAGAAGGGAGATAAGGACAGGGAAATTAGATGGGAGATGTAAGACTGAAGGAGTTCAGGCCTCTTTCAGCAGCAGTGCTTCTGCTGTTGTTGCATTCCTCAGCTCTGGATAAGTCTGAGCTAATTGCCTGCGTGGAGAATGAAACCCAAAAGGCAGCTGTTCATCCTTTGGGGCTCACAGAGTGCAGTCTGAGGCCAACACGCCTATGTAACAAAACAGACCCATCCAGTAAGGGACAATCTGATACACCAACCTAAAAGGAAAAGACATTGGATCATGCTGATTTTTCACCGTAGGATCATTAGCTACTTCAGGTCAGATCCCAGCCTCCTTGCTTCTCACCTGGCTGTGGAGTTGCCAAGGCCTGTAGTCCTCTTCTGCACACCTCCGATCAAAAATGGACTTGTAGTCTACTTTCACCAGCTGCCACTCTGAGCGGTGGCTGAAATGGCCAAACACTCTACAGAATACAGCAGAAAGAGCATACAGTAAAAGGTAGCACCAGATGGATTCTGGTAGTGACAGAGGTACAGTCACCCACAAATTTCCAACAGAGATCAATTGCTTTAGGAGTGCCAGTCCTACTGATTTTCACTTGACTGACATAGTGAAAGCCACACTTAGGCTCCTAAATACCCACAACCCTTTTAAAAATTGCATGTAGCTTTTATTCTATGGATCAAGATCCTCCCACTTATGTCAATCCCCAAAATGACTATACAGAAAAGACTTGACATGAGGCTGGAGACAGTTATACCTACAGGAGTTTGATATCTCAATTATGAGCTTTGGGAATCCCTTCCACACAAATTAAAATCAGAACCTGAAGGGATCATTCATCATACATCTCTATTAACTCAGGTTAGTTTCCAAGCCACATGTTCTGTTTATTACAGGTCAGTCCATTTTTTACAGACACAAACTGAATTTTCCTCCTGTTTTTGAAAATCTGATCTCAGGTAAAATGTCACAATTTCTGGCAGGGTGAATCCAGATTTATGCACCATGCAGAGCTCAGCATACCACATTGAAACTAATCATAATTTTTCACGAGTCAGCCTCCAGGCAACATTTTGTCATTCATTTTTACAAAAGAATGTCTTCATTTTTCTGTGTCTCAGTTAAAAAAAAAGAAAGTAGCAGCAAAACACAGCTATAAAAATACCCCACCATTGTTCTTTCAAATATTCATCTGTCAAGAGTAACTCTGCTTTAAATCACATTCAATTTGAGGAGTCAGGTTTCATGCTGATAAGCTAAGTGATAGTGTTTTTGCAGCTTGCAAGGAACCATGTTGTCATTCCCTCAATCATATCACAAATAAACATTGATGCAACAGAAGACTGCATTCTCCTGGCTTCAGACAGCATTTGGTTTGGTCCCCAACCAGAAATGCTATTATGTTACGAACAACCTTCATAAGCTATTTTCGGTGTAGTTCCCATCAACATTAGCATGATGGCATGCTCACTTACGTCATGATGAGAGTTTCCTCTCCAGGTTCCCCTAATACTCCATCTACAAACAGTGGGAGGGATGTGAAACTGTACTTGCTCCAAGACCTCCCTTCATCAAAACTTAACCTGGTGGAGAAAGCAGAATTAGTATCTTCTTCCCTCACTCTCCTCCTACTTTACTTGAAGAGACTCTCTAGTCCACTACACCTGCTATGGAGAGTAGGAAGCAGCTTCTATTCTTGGATACTGCATTTTTAGTCCTTTATATAACTATTTTCTTGGGAAGCATCATAAATCAGAGCATTGAACAAACTTGTTTGGCATCATACTGCTAACCCATGGCCAATACTTAAGTGGTGGAAACTAATAAAGTTATGTTAGAGATTGATGCTTTAAGGGCAAAACATACCCTAGGGCTAGGATTTTTTTTAAATAAACAAGTGATTTTGAGCATCTTATTTTTGGGTCCCCAACATAAGACATTTTAAGGAGGTTAGATTTCTGGAGCACAAAAGCTTTGCCTCTTCTGATCAGCAGTCTTCCCTGTGGCGGGTCTAAGTGAAAGCTTGGAACCACTCATCACTTCCTAAGACTTGGGTCTATGTGTTTCAGATATTGGTATGACACTGACTGTAGTGGAAGTAAATCATGCAAAACATCACAAAACTATATTCTACCTACCACATAGACTCAAGAGTGCTAACTAGTGGGAACACTTTTGCCTTATTCGCTATATAGCCCTGAATCTATTCAACAAAATTCTGGTTCATATGTGCTTCCTGCCACACAGAAGACAAGTTCATCAATAATTTTGAAAATTAAGAGTACTTTGGCAACTTAATAAGAGACAAAGCCATAATCCAGATTCATATTACATAAATAACCAAACCGAAGAAGACAAGTTGCGGTAAACCAGGAAAGTCGTGGAATTACATTGACAATATCTCACATCTGGCCAAACTGAAACTATGTAAGCTGGAATTGCCAGGATTTCTTAGCTTTATCTGAGTTAAAGTTTGCCAGCATCTTAACTGATATTTTCTAGACTGTAGCGACAGAAAACTCTGGATGCAGCCTAACTGCCTACTTCCTGGCATCTGAAAAGAGAGACAGCAGACATTTAGAATAGATGGAGTCATTACCAGAGATGTCTGATAGGCAGAGATGTGTGTTTCATGGCGACCAGTACTCCACCTTGATCCAGGTACAGAACACTGTGCTCTTCCTCAAAGATCTGGAAAAAAAAAGCATATATTTAAATCTATTTTCCTTAGTATCAGGAAAATGTCATAGTTCTTTAAGTACGTTCATGACATAGGACAGGTATGTGCTAAGGAAGTTACTGAGTAGAGGAAGGCATTCTGTATAGAGAAAGTTCTTGGGGTTTTTTTTATTGTTTTGGGATTTTTTTATTTTAAGCTTTTCCAAGGTCTTTGGAAAATGCATTCTGCCTCTGCTTGATAGAAAGTTAGAAACATGAATTTTTGCAAGGATCAACAATTTCCCTCCTTTCAATGACAGATTTTTGTTTAAGGAAGAACTTTATGTGTTTGCATGTATCTGGCCCTATCTCACATAAGTGATGTAGACCGAAAAATGAGGGCTGGTCAAACATTGTAAAATAATTTCATTCTTAGAATATCAAATATTTAAAAAAGATTTTCTTTTCCTGTGTCTTTTTTGTATTGGCTTTCTGCAAACATCTGCTCTCCAGTTTATATAGCAGCACTTGTCAGTCTGGGAAAGTCACGCCTCCTCTCCCTGACTTGATATCCTATCCAGAAAATAGGAAAAATAGAACTTCCTCTTCTGAGGATAAACACATTAAAGGGTAGCAATGCTTTATTAACAGGTGGGATTTCACTAAATATTAGGCACTTGATTTAACTTCATGATCCAGTCTCTTTCCGCAATTAATGGAGAGATGGGTAGCTTCAGAACAGGATGAACTGAATTCTGTTTTTATCTCCATTAACTTAAGAGCAAGGCAAAATTACCAGTTTATAAGGACGCTGAACTTTGGACAACAAAACTTAGGTGAAACGAGTCCCACACATAGTGAGGGAGAAGTAGACTAGTGCAACTGCTAATTCTCTGGAAAATTATAATCTGGATGAAGAGAAAAATGGTTTGATCGGTACAAGGGCTGTACAACAGTAAAAGGAAACACATACTTTCCCCATATATATTAATATTTTAATCTACACTTTGCTACAGGGTTAAACTGAAGTCAAACTGAGTAGAATTATAAAAATAATTTTCTGTTATATGAAGTCAAACGACATATTCAGTCTTTTTCTTTGGGCATCTCTCTACCTCTCAGAAGGGAATAAAAGTTTTCCCTTTTGTATAGATCTGCAAAAAGCTACTCTGAACCAAAAGAAACAAAAATTAAGCTACATTTTGAATCTATTTCTATGACAATTTCATATGATTACTATTTAAACCTGTGATTCTGTGTCATCTACCTGTCTCCAAGTGTTCCCAGCATCAGAAGAAACAAACATGCTGATGTCATTGTCTGATAGTTCAGTGCCTATATTACCTGTAAGATGAACATTGATTAGTGATGCAACACTCTAAGAAACAGCAGAATTAGCAAATTAGGGGAGTAAATGTATTTATTTACCTTTTGCAATTATAGAACTTTTAGTTTTGGGAAGAGAAAGAGGGGGAAGGGAAGGGAAAGACTTTCAGTTTGAAGAAAATACATATAAAAGATCCAACGCATACAGCTCTACACACCTCTGTATGCAAAGGAAATGCCCTGGTTTGAATCTAATGTGCATTGGAGTAGAGGACTAGAAGTGATCTCCTTGGTCTTGAAGGTCAGTTTCCATAAAAAACATATGACAAGTTGAAGGTCCCTAAGGACTTCCGTTTGACAGCCTTCCTTCCTTCCCGCTACTGGTGGTGTGACACCCCACTCAACACCCTCCACACCCATCACAAACTCAAGATTTTGTCCATGTTTGCACATCATACACAGGCAATCTTTAAATGTTTCATACCTGAAGCTACAATAATACTGGGGGCAGTGTCTCGGCTGGCGATGTTTCCTGAGGTGTAGGGATTCTCTGAGACCTTCAGGTGAAGATGAAGAGAGCAATAGGGCTATGGAGAAAGGGGAAATAAAAGTAAAAAGCAGACACAACATAAAGTGCATGCTCCTATTTCTACAGGCTTACAAATATACAGTGTCTTTCTGTATTATCTCCTAATCACTGCATCCAGCCACCCTTAGAAATACACAGCCACTGTCCTGGTTCTGTTGTGAGAGCTTTGCTGTCATTTTCTAACGCAACCCGTTCCCACTGGGAAACTGATTCACTAGGCTCAAACCCTCTCACAAGGACAAGATCTTTGAGGCTGTACCCACAAAGGAGGCAACCAGGCTTGCAAGATCAGGTAATGGTAAGGACTACCCAGCTCCCCTGGCTCCTAGCTCTCTTGAGAAACAAGCAGAGTTGCAGATATGATGAAGTGACTCTCAGAGCAGCAGTGCCCAAGCTATCTCTGCAACAAGAACCAATATAACCCTATTGGTGTGGTGCTGAGTCACCACTAATTAGCCATGAGAAACAACTTAATTCAGGCAGTGTCATAGCATTTCTTGACTCTAAGTATTTTTGACACATGACTCTCTTCTGCACTGCACTAAGAAGAAATACCAGGACTGGAAAGTGTTAGTTTAAAAGTTGTTTAATACAATGCTTCATCACCCCATCTGGGTGTGACCTTTGAGATTTCAATACAAATACATCCATGGAAGCCTCACCTATTTGTTATTGATTTTGTGTGTCACGTACTCAGATAAGAGAGGAATGGTACAGAATAAATCAGGTGAGCAAGAAGGTAAGACAGGCAGATTCCCAAAGTTGCCATTACGATTCCCTCCAAATCTGTATTCTAGTAATTTCTGAAAATTTTGATAATTTTTGCCTTCTCTTGGGTTTTATTTTCAGTATTTTTTTCTTCCAAACTTCATGAAGAGTCCTTTGTGAAACATGCTAAGGGAAGGGAGGTGGAAAAATATTGGCAAGAAAACCTGAAGCAAACTGACCAAATTGAGGGGAACATCACACAGGAACACACAGCAAAGCCCATGCTTCAGCTTGCACAGCTCTGTAAAACGAGCAGGAGAGGCTCTGCAGAAGGCTCTCCAGGCTCTTAGGAGGCAGGTCTTTCTGTCTAATATCAGTTGCCTAAAGGCTAGGTCTCCAGCCCCAAAAGTTTTGTAGGCTTCCTCTCCAGGAGACCTAGCTCCATAAGTCACTGGAGAAAGACCGCTGATTCATCCTATCTCAGGGTAGGTGTCTATGACTGAAATGAAAATCTCCCTGTGGAGAATGACAACAACAAAAGGCAGGAGGTTTTTTGGGCAAAGGTGAATGAGGGTGGTGAGGAAGGGTGGGAAGTCTCACTTATGTGAGACAGAAAAAGGGGACATGAGTTGTGCAGAAGGGAACACAACCTGCCAAGTGGAATGTACTGAGCAGCCTAACTCTTAACTGACAGCCTTGTGAGGGCAGACGCTGGAGCAGCCCGGGGGCGCAGGGAGGGAGAGGAAACCAAATCGAGCTGACATGCATGCAGGAAGTGGAAAAGCACTGCAAGAGCCTGAATTCTTCCCTTTTACATTTGTGTATGTTGTGAAAAGACTAAATACAGAACATATTTTTAAAACTAACATACTCCAAGCCCACTTCAGCATTTTGAAGACAGTAGCTAATGGCAGCAACTCAGCCAATTCCCCACTCTGATAGAGATCAGACCTCATTAGACTCAAATCTTTGTGCTACCAGAGGTTTTCTTTCAAATTTGTCTCATTTCAGATATAGTACACAGAAATGGAATATATATCTTAAATGTTAAAAGCCAGGTCACCTGTCTAAGCAGTAAGATGGTATTTTTAGTGGCATGACTTCTTATTGGTTGGAGTGCAGTAATGCTTACAGTGTCTAGTGACAACTGGGTATGGTGTAAAAACTAACCTCTCCACACTAGCCAAACACCTAAAGTTATTGCCCATGGCCATCTCACATCCTTACTGTGGCAGCATTCTCTTCTTCATCCCTGATGTACACCTTCTCCATCTGTATCCTTATATAGTTCATTGACAGATATTTTTCCAGACTGGTTTGTCTTCCATCACACTGTTGGTCCCTTTGTGTTCCTCCTCTAGCTCCCACAGCTTAACTCGTATACAGACATCTCAGCTTTGTTTTTTAGAATTTCCATCAATTGCCTCTATCCTTCTTGTTGTTACCGACAGGCTACTGAAATCATTATTTTCATCAGAATCACCAATTTTGGGTTTCCCTGTCATTGCCTAGTACCCAGCAGTGCTAGGTGCTGCACAGACACCAAGGGAAAGACAACCACTACCATGGAGCATTTACAACCTAGGTAGAAGATAAAAGCATGAGTGACATAGCCCATTGCTCTACTCACTGCCATAGTTCTTACAATCATGCTGGAGTTCATTACTTGCTTCCTAATATTTTCAAGCCAGCACTTTTATGCTCTCCTCTCAGGAGGCTCATCAGTCCTTAGTAAAATTTCTCATAAATACCTACAAACCCACTTCTTGGCTGTTCTGCAAAGCCCACCTAAACAGTCTCCAATGGCACCACACATATAAAACAGCTATTAGTGACTGTCCCTGATCAGGAGTGGGGCAAAATATTATAACACAAGGATGATGCCAGACACCATTCACAAAGCTAGGGGTAGTCACAGTATTTGCTCACCTGCAATAACAAGGAGCAATGAAGAGAGATAAACACTTCCAGGAGAGAGATTCACAACACCTCACTTAGATGCTTAAATTATTCTGTAGCAGATGGTATGAATGCCCTCCCTTACGAGAAAGGGGTCTTTGTCCTGAAATCCTTATAATCCATATAGACAAGACAAACAAAATATGGGAGGGAATAAACAGATGTCTGGGGAAGAGAGGCACAGAGAAAATAAATGACTTGCCCAAGGTCACATAGGAAATTGGAAATAGGCCTAAAAATTGAATCAAGATTCTCCTGAGGTTCAGCCCAGTGTTTTAACCACAAGACCATCCTTGAAAGCTAATTGATTAACTCTCCTAGACAGATGCCCATAACTTGCAAGATAGAATTACTCCTCAGTTAACCACTTCACAGCACAAGAGAAGTATCAAACAAAACCAGCATCTTTGGGATATAATACTCTGGCAGCTATTTTATGAAGATTAAGTGTATTCAGCATAGAAAACAAGTGGTATAGACAAGAAAAATAAAACCTTGGGATTAGATGTAATTCCATTGCTTTCCTCCATCCTCATTATTCAGAGCCATCTCACAAAAAATGCAAAGAAATTCTTTGAGTTGCTTTGAAAAAAACACCTCAAGCATACTGTCAGCAGAGGGATGGTTCCATCTGGCTTGCCTTGTGTTTCAACCAGATTCCTTCTTAACCTCCTTAGCTGCCAACTTAGCTGCTTTGTACTTATTTCTGCATTAACACTCCCTTAGTTTAGGTTTAAAGACCAGATGCACAGAGGACACAACACTGCGCTCACAGGCTAGGGACCGTCCTGTCACTCTGGGGAAGGGCAGATCCCATTCTGCCAACAAGATGGAACATACGTCATTGCTGTGTCCCAAGCTATTGCTAGAGGCAACTATGCTGAAAACCAGCAGTGTGAAAGCATGAGTATCTGCCGTGGAGTAAGGATGGCAGCTAAGCTAGATGTACAATGGACTATTAAGAATTCACTTAGCTATGCCATAAGGAGAAGCAGGATCATGCCAAGAACAGCAATACGTAGAGGGAAAAGGAGCAACTGGCGTAAGGAGGTAAAAGTCCTGGTGATGCAGGGGTAGAGAGAGTGTGGCTAAAGAGGTGAGTGGAGTTTGTGAACTGTTTAAATACTACAGCTATGTCACATTGACAAAGAACAGAACTGCCTCAGAGCAGGGGACAATTCCTTTTCTCCACGCTTTTCCTGAAGCAGAATGCCATTATGGATCCCTGACTTATTTCCAGGAACGTACAACACTTCCAGTGGTTTTGCTTTGAAAATTTCCCCTACCACTCCCAACTTCTGTGGTCTTTTCTCTATCTTTTCTTGAATTCTTGCATTCCATATTCTGCCTTCATCTTCCCCCATCATTAACTGTGAAGCTCAAATCAGATTTTTAAATAGCTTGGCTCTCTCTTGTAGGATTGTTATTTTACTTTGTGGTTTTGATGCATTTTCTGTACCTCCCTTTCTTTTGCAGGCAGACTGCCTGTTCCTGTAAAAGACCTAACAAGTCAGTTTAGTTCAGATTTCATCTATTTGCTTTCTTGCAAATTTGCAAGTCAACCACCTGAGACCCTGTATGTTCAGCTGATGATCCCTGCTCTGCTACCATTCCACTAGCTTGTGACAACCTAAGCATGAAGGAGGCAGACAGGCTCAAGCAATGAAAGAGGCTTCTTGACTGTTTTACCTCATGTTAAGGGAAGAGGAAAAATAAACATGACTAAACATTCCTCTGGCCTTATCACAGGGAAGGGCTGACTAAGTTCCTTCACATTCTTCTGGAAGGGCAAAGACTGAGCTACATGGTTCAAGTCCATTAAGGATTTGTCCCTTACCACCCTGAAATCATGGATCGATTTCTACAGATGCCCATGGACCTGAGATGCCTACTCCAGCCCAAGTCACAGAGCATTTAGGAAGTGGTTGCTTTCCAGTGAAAACAGGATGACAAGCCTACATCGAGCTTGCACAGGCGGAAGCAATTCTCAGGGCAACTACATGGTTGCATAAAGAGCAAAATAAAAATGAACCAGTGTTTAAATAGTGGTTTGTGCACACTGGAGCTACAAGGATGTAAATGCCAAGAGCTTCTCTGGGTCAGTTCTTACTGTGTCCCTACAAGTGCCCTCACTTCTGCTCCTGCTCATGACCCCTTGCCTGACTTGTTCAAGTTTAACACCTTCAAGGGAATTCCAGCTTGTCCAGGCATATCTGGTCTAATTTTAAATGAAATTAATTGTGTTCTCAGGTGCCCATGAGTATAGTAGCAGATACAGTATGGATGGGAAGGCTTAAGGGAGCTATAATCCCCCCTCCATAAGGACCATCCAGTCCTGGTTGGTTCCACTATATAGTGGATAACTACAGTGGCAGCATACCCTTGTATATAAAATACATAGTTCCTGCAAACGACCATTCGATAAGGACCCTGCAGAGCAGTACCTCTGGCTCATTTACAACCACAATGGCAAGTCAGATCTCCCTTGTTCAGTATGCAACAATACCAAGAAAGATGTTTTCTCAGAAATCAAACTTCAAATTTATGGGAAAAGAATAGAGCTTACTTTAATTATTTCACTTGTCTGCATAGTTTTTATTTTTTCTGCCTTGCCAGCCCCCCAAAATATTACACTATCATATCATATAATAAAAATCTTGGGTTAAAATCAGTCATAATTTGAAAAAGTCAAGGTGTGTTTTTTTGTCAAATATGGTCACTTGAGTTAAAACTAGATTACAATCTATTTGAAACGCAAAGACTTCTACACATAGCACCTTCGAAAAAATTCATTTGCTTTATGTCTGCAAAGTTTTCTGAATGTCATCTTTTTGGTTTTCATCTTCTAGAAAGATTTAATTTAAAAATGCCCTTAGTTACAATTTTTAAAGACTTGGAAGAAGAAAACAAACCCAAACAAATTTAGTCATGCTCTGAAATAACTCTTCTGTTTGACCCCCAGTCCTCCTTATTTATTTTTTCCAAACTGGAGAGAAAATGAAAGGCTTGCATTTTGGTTCAATCAAAAAATCAATTATTTGAACAGCTTCAAATACCAAGTTATTTATTCTTTGCTCTTGCAATAACGCATGGGGTTCGGTTAAGAGATTAGTGTAGTATTCAGCTACATACCGCAATGCACAAAATGTAACGCTGATTCAGATTCTAACAAACTCACAGCCTCAAAATCACCTTTTTTTTTCAGATGGAAAATAACGTGCAGGTACAGGACAGCAGGAGGAAGAGCCGTGTAAGTATGATGATTCTGTCTGGAAACCATGTTAGAATTTGTGTAATATAAAAGCTATTGAGAGTCCTAAAGCCTGGGGTTCCAAGTATTATCCCACTACTGTGTATAGATTATATCGGATGAAAAACATGTCAAGATCAGTCTAAGCTTTCTAATTTGGCAGAGATCTCTAATTCTATTCACACTGCTTATATTTCACTTTCACTCTTGGAAACCATTTGCATATAATGATGATTAAAGACTTATCTGTATGTTGATCTATATCAACAAGTACAGAGACAGATACAATATACCCCCAACACATAGTTATATATATATTTGGATGAATGTGTCGATTCTCACTTCTGAGCTCAAAGAGAAAATGATAATTATTAATACTGCCAACAGAGTGGCCTGAAAGGTATCAGAGCTCTCCTTTCCTTTGAGCCTGTCTCAAGTTATTAGGTCCCTGACAGTTCCTGAGCTACAATAGCTCACTCCTCCCATCTAGTGTCCAGAGAATCAACTGCGCAGAACGGTGTCCAGCTTCACCTGCTGTTTAAGAGGAGACCATCAGTTGTGCAGAAGGAAGCTGATCTACGATGCTACGATTCCAGAAATTAAATTAAGTTAAGTTAAATTACAATGCCAGCTCTTGCAATACCACCTGGCAGCCCAAGCCTGATGTACTGCACTTTTAATATGCAGTATTCCCCCCATGAGATACACCTCATGGAGAGAGGAGCTGCCCTCTCCTTCTTGTGTTACCTGGTAGAAAAAGATTGTTCTGGGATGTTACCGCCCCCCAAGTTCCCCCCCAGGTACTTACTAGGAGACAGTGAATGGGGTTTCCTCTCAGATCAGTGTCCGGAGCCTGCAACAAACTCCAGTCTCTCCCTTTATTGTAGGTGATGAAAGTTTTCACTTGGTTGTCAATCTTCTTGTTAGCCAGGAACATTCCCTTTATCCCTGCTACCTAGGAAAAATTGACATGGCTGAAAAATAGATCAAGCCGGTGCAGGTTCTGTGCATGCGTCTCTCTTGCCCTGTCAAACCCAACAGGGATCTGGTGGCTGCGTCAGTGTGGTAGATGTCCGGGCAAGAATTGCCAAGGAGCATCAAAGGAAGGCAAATTGAGGTGCTGGGGACAAGATAAGACCATCACAGTTGGAAAGGTGACAAATGGAAAAGAAAGCTTATATTTCAGAATCAGCACGGGAACGTGCTATTGATGGTAAGATGTCAGTAGCATTAACTGTAAAGTGACAATCTCTCAACTGTGTAGGCATCCTTCCCCCTGAAAGATGGAATATGTACAGGACAATTATTTGTCTCTTGCACTGCAGCAGCAGGAAACAGCAGCAATTTTGGTCTTGCAAAGAAAATGGCAACACACACATAAACTTGCAGTTCAGTGCTTCTATTCTCATACAGCCTGCTTAAGACATTTCATCTAAGGATCCCAATGTGTTTCATAATTATCAGTGTTTCAACAGGATAACTTGGTGCACAGAGGTATTTTTATTACGGTTTTGTATTTTGAGGAAACCAAAGCACTGGTGACTCAAGCAAGGCCACCCAGAATGGTAGTTACAGAGCAACAATGAGATTCTCATCCTTTTATTTTTTCTGGTGTTTTATCTAACAGCTTTACTCCATAGATCTGTAGGAGGATTTTGTAAAGATGTGATACTAACAAACAGACTCATGTTGGAACAAAGCCCAAAAGTGTCTTAGTGGGGAGAAAAAAGTCAACCTTAAACCACAACTCACACTGCAGAATGTTCCCATCTTCTCAGCACACTGAAAATCAATAGCCCAATAGCTGCTGCAGCTTGAGAATGAATTTGTTAGGCTGTCATTCTGCAATCTGAGTGCTGCAATAAAAAGGGAAGCAAAATCGGGAGAAGGAGGGGGAAAGTGAGAAACTTCTTGGTTTCTAGCAAGTCTGTTCAGTCATCCACCCCATCTCTTCTTATGATGCAGAACCAGTACACAGAATCATTCGTCACGACTTTTTATTCATAGAGATTATTACTTAAATGGCACCACGTGGCAAATGGTTACACAGCAGATTCAGAGTTTGTTCCAGCTCAACTGATTTAATTATGTGGCTGGATTTGGATGCTAGAGCTCCCAGTGAGTAGGACCTTACTGCACTTTTAGTCATATGCTGTGGGACTACTAGTGTAAAGTGCATTGGTACAGTACATTGGTGTACTTAGTCATTCTGAATGGCACTTTGCTCCTTGAACAATAACACTGAATTTCATTTGAAGTTACGTAAATACTTAGATGTGACTTGCTATAATGGGCAATAGTTTTTAAATTAAGTAGTTAAATAACTTATTGTTGATATAAGCATAAAAAGGTAATATTTTCAATGTCCTAGCTGGTTTGTTTCGTACCACCCAACTAAGTATTCAGGATTTCTTTGTTGTAGTAGAAAGGCACCCTGATAAGACAAGGGTACTCTGTCTCCCAGTGATACTGCATGAATAGACAGAGCTGGAAAAATAACATAGCCTTTACTACCAGAGGCCAGAGCCTATAGCTCTGTTTGTACTTTTCTTTGTTGTTGTCTTGAAATAGTTGTATTATATAGTCCCTGTGAAATGCTGGCCATAAATGATTAAAGAGCATTTTGTATATCAGGTGATAAATGTGTTCTGAAATCCTGTGAATTTTTCTTTTTATGATTCTAGTCATGGGCTGGGACACAGAATCCTTTCCAGAGAAAGCAAAGTGTAAGTTATACTGTCAGTCTTGGACAGCTTTATCTTAAAAAAAGACTGCACACACTATACATGTCTGTGTGCTCTCAGGAGGAAAAGATACACCTATTGCATATACACAACCATGACACACACAATGATCTGTTCATCCCTGCTGACTCATAAGAGAGAAAGACTCATGCGAGTAAGTGCATGACCACCAGTGGTCAGAGAGAAAAGCACTCCATCAGCTCCCACACAGGCTTTGTAGACAATCCTCACTGCCCCGAATACATTGTGGGCAGATACAAATGGTGTCTACAGTGTTAGTGAAAGATTCATACAAGACACTCGAACACACAACTCAAAACACATTCTTCACTCCCCATCACCAACTTCATACATCAAACATATACTTCCCATCCAAGATGCGTACTGCTAAAAAAAATAAGTCCCAGAGTGATAGTCATATATACCATAGCTATAGACACATGTCCTCACAGTCTGTTATCACTTCAGGCATGGATTCCCACAGGCGGGATTGTCTTTCTGCGGACAGTCCCACTACAGTGCCAATCAGAGCCACACCACATCATTGGAGAGGTGCAGGAGCTAGAAAGGGCACTCAGACCCAACGGCCAGTGATTCTTGCTCTTCCCTTGCTCTAGGAGATGGTCTCTAGGACAGCCCCTTTGTGACTGCAGACCCACTGAATGCTGAGTCCAGTGTGTTACTGATGAAGTGGCACTGGAAGGTGGTGGAGAGAAGAGCTATGCTCACGTCCTGCTCTGTCCAACATGCAGAAAGGGTAACAGTGTCCCTCTAGGAGTGGTCTCCTCATCCTCTACAAGGTCCAGCAGCAGAAAAGCCCACACACTGAAATAACAACCTCCGAGTGAAAGGCTCCTGATGACTTACAAGAGAAGAGAAGGGAGAACACGGTGAGGCGCCATGAAAGAACTTATTCTTTCTTGATGCCCAATGCAATTCCCCGTTGAGCAGCATTGAGCAGATTTATCCTTGATGTAGAATCAGTTTAGGAATCTACACACACAAACACATTCACTACAATGCAACCAGATGAACTTACTTCTAACACCTGATAAACACGCATACAGACACATGCACATTTAACAGGTCTTTCTCTGGCATCTTCTCAAATAATCTTGCTTATATATATAATAATATAATATACCACTGTCACCACAGATATACCACTGTCACCACAGAAGGACTCATTTTGCAATCTCTCCACTTCCTTTTAATTTATCTATGGATTTTTTTCTTCTCTCGCCTTCATCTCCATTTATCCCTAGAGCATTCATCATTTGCAACAACCCTACTGGGAGAATCACACTGGATGGCTTTCTGTTCCCTTCCAGCTAGAACATCAAATTGAAAGGAAGGTTTGTGCCAGGTTCAGCGTCAGCCAATATTCTTTCTATCTAGATAATCAGCAGATACGATGCTATCAATTCTGATTCCATCAATTTCAATCCAGGTTACTGTGTGGTGTCAGCTTAATAAAACAAAACAAAGGCTTTTCTTTCCCCCTGGGACATAGGACACCTTTACATAATGCAGTGAAACTGCTTCTCAAGCTGACAGTAATAAGAGGCAACAGTCTTTCCATGGGCTGCCAGCGTTGCAGAGATTAACAGTAAAAATCTCCAAATGACTGAAATGCCGGCGTCCATCCTTCTACAGCTCGTCTGCATTTATGTACAATACTTGGGCTCTCTGTTTGGACAAGGTGGTTTCCAAGTAAAGGGCAGCTGAAGGCAAACTATATAGCAGAGCTAATATTCAGACAGTGATGGGGAAATAGAGGAAGCATCTTCATTTTCAAAGGAACTCGGATCTAGTTCATGGCCTTTATTCTGAATGGCCAGAAAATCCCCTGGAGGAGACCTGAAAAGAGAAGCTGACCCTCAAAGCAGCAGCTGAGGACTGAATTTCTACTTAGCTGAGTGCTGTCTCCAGAAGTAAAACAGGCAGCAGAGCAAGAGAATTATAAGGGCACATTAAAAGTCCTATTCTTCAGATCAGTTGTCATAGAAGACAATGTAAATTGGCCTTCTTACAGGTGAGCTTAGGCAGAATGTACTTGTCAGGAAAAGGCTCAGGGATAAAATGGACAGCAAGATGAGGAGAGTTTCCATACTCATGGGATAGCCCAAGAGGGTGTATATAAAATCACTTCAGTTCCCAGAAAAGTCCAAGCTGAGGAAGGTGACAAAGATAGCTGAAAACTGCTGTCTCTCCTTACTTCTAAAACAAGAGATTAGGCTGTCAGAAATGCAACAAAAATTGGAGAATGATGCTATTCAGAGTGTTGGGAGCTTTCAGAGCCGTAGGTAGGACCAATGTGGGTCAGAAGGATTTTGGCTGAGAACCTTAAAGAGTTCCTTGTAGGGACTGAATGAACTATTCTACTACATCTTCCGATGCGTATCTTCCTATGCATGAAAGAGCCATGAGCTCTTCCTCACTTGAGAACCTACAAGAGAGTACAGCAGTGAATCTGTTCATAATATTAGGCTGGGCCTAAATTCAACACCTGTGTAAAACCTGGCCTTGAAACTCAGCTGATTGCACTGAGGCCCTTAAGTAAAAGCAGGGTAAAACTATGTGTTCAGTCACTTTTTGCCTCTGCTGTTCACATGCATATAACGAGACTGATGTGCAAGAAGGAAACGGTACTGGCATCATGTGAGCTCCTGAGATAGGAATGAGATGTTTGTAGTCATGACATACCTCATAGAGGTCAATCATCACATTCCCCTCCAGCCCTTGACTACTTTTGACATTTTCCAAGGCCAGGGTGAAGTACACCCCTCGGGTGTCGGAGATATACAGATTGTACGTGTCGTTCTGGTTCCACTCTTGTACAGCTGCAAACACCTGATTCTCATCTGTGCTGATAACATGCATATCCTGGGGAAAGAAAAGAGAGGAAGGTTACTAGAGGGAGCTCTGCTCTGTCATTTCCAAGGGCACCAAAGTAATTGTGGAGGAGCAAGGGATATATTTAGGCTGGAGTTTAATCGGAAACTGTAGACAACACTCCTGTAAGCGGATAATTCCATCCAGGAATATTTTACACCAGCTCTCTTCTGCCAATTTTCAAAGTAGTAATTAACTGATGAGGTGTTAATTGAACATTTACATTGGCAGTACAGTGTTATACAGCAGCACTTTCCCCCCCCCCCCAACACTTTAATTTTAATGTGTACTTTGTTTGGGGGGGAGAGGGGATTGTTTATTTGTTGTGGGGTTTTTTGGCACCTGAGTGATTCCACTTGTGATTGTGGAATCTCAGATATTAAAAATATTGCTTTTTGTTAAAAAAGAAGAAAAAAGCAGCATGTGAAACATCTGCTTCTTGCTTAGCATTCAGAAATCAAGTATGCTTGGGAACTGATACAAGGAGGATCTAATGGGTTAATGTCTGCAGCCAGTGCTGCTGTTATTTCTTATTTCTAATGGCAGTGTCAACTAGAAGCCAAAACCCTGTGCTAAACACCCCCCCAAGACATATAACAGAAAGACGATCCTAATCCTCACTAGATGTAAAGAGCAGAATTGTAGCTAGATCACTAGTGTTATGAGTGAGGTTTTGTTTTACTCTGTTCTGTGTGTTACAGCAGGCAGGAAGCAATGAAAAGATTGCATAATTACAGAAAAAACAGAAACTATTAAACATTATTCCCTCTTTCAGTGCCTGGAGAAATTATTACCCAGTGGAAAGAGCCACCAAGAGAGAGATTTTTCTAATGAAATTCCCAGGCTCTATCTGCCCAGCACAGGCACCCTGAGTTCTTTGGTGCCATAAAAATCTGTGGAGGTAGGAAAAGAAATGCAGATTACTTAGCACCAGGTGATTCCCAGAAGATTCAGCTGTTCTGTCTGTTTTGGGCAGATATCCCAAAGTTATTCTGCTTCCATGAATCTCAGCCAGGGCTTTCTATATGCAAAGCTGGGAACTTTATCAGAAAATATACTCTTTGGAAGCTGATGCTACTTCTTCCTTCTGTTAATAATAGTCTTTGACAATTCACTTTCTCATGGTTTTGTAGGGGGAATTAATACTTCCAGATGGAGCCTTGCAATATAAAGATGAAAAATAATATAATGAAGAAATCTGATCTATAAATTTGAAAATAGTTTCACCATGAAGTTAAGATTCAGAACTGTTGTTTGTTTATCCAGATCCAAGTATGGAGTGGATGAATATTCATTTGATTTACTTGCTTCTTTGCACTGGAGAAAAACGTATCCCAGAGGCTGGTTTTGTGGAGGAACAGATTGGCTTAAATCCTGAGGCAATAGGAAAGGCAACGTAAGTCCCACTGCCTTCTACTAATTGTGGTTGTGAATAGATATCCTCTCTTAGCTCCAGCTGTGCTAGTAGAAGTTACTACCGTAGCTGTTTGTCAGAGGGTCCTTATTTCAGACTGTCATGCTAATCAATCTGCTGGTAGATCTACATGAGTAGGTGTTCCCAATGTGCTTCAGGCAGCATTGGCTAGCACATCTCTAATCTCAAGTTTAAACTTTTGCATATGTGCATATACACACAGGCAGACCTCTCTATTTAAACACAGACAGATATTATAAGTAAAACTTGTTTTATGTGGTGAATGTACAGTTTCATTAACTTACCATTTTAATCAATAGTTTTGTAATAACTAGGGGAGAAAGGTAAAAAGATATTTTGATCAACACCAGAGAAAACTAAAGGCAATTTCATGAATGCTTAAGAAGCAAATAATTTATTCACTAGATGCTTCCTGAGTTTTGATCAGATCATGCTGTAAGGTACAAGTCTAAAGAAGATCCCAGTAAGGCTGAAGGAATTTAAGCCTGGAGAAGCAGAGACTGAGACAGAATTGGCATAATAAACATAGTGCAGAAAGTCAAAAAAGATAGTGTTCCAACCGTTTGCCTTTGGGGATGAGTTAACTTTTCCTCTTAACATGGCCTTGTCCAATAGATGCAGTAACAATGCAAAGCTTTGATAGAAGGGGATCAGTATATGGGCATCAAACAGGTCTTTGACAAACATCAGGAATTTTTTGGTTTCCATACTGGGAAAATTAGAATTAATCAGCGTATCATATTCACTTCTATTTTTTTTTTTTCAGGGTGGGGGTTGCTTTTTTAGGTGGAGGAATAATACAAAAAGACAGCCTTCATCTTGATATGGAGCAAGAGCTTCACTGCATCTTCCACTACTACAACAGATGTTCTTTTCACCTCCCTACAAAAAGGGAAAAGGACAGGAAAGTGAAGCAAGGCACCTTCCTCAAACAGTCATTGTCATTTTCAGGGGCTCCCCATGCATCTGCCTACTGAGAGCCTGAGCTTTCCTCTCTGTGTTCTAGCACATAGTGGAAGTACATTAATATGCAGTTCTACATCTGTCCCTCTTGCCTTTCCAAAGACAAAAGAGCGAGCACGGTGCTGTGCATGGTTTGATCAGGTGTCCACTCAAATGACTAAAGGCCAAGGCTTTCTGAATTACTAAATGTGCTTCAATTGCCCTTTTTGCACTTGGTCAGGGAACTTTTCTTCCTGGCAAGTTAAATAGCAGGGATGTGTAATGCCTGTTTTGTCCTGTCAATTACTGGAACTGTCAGCTCTTTTTAAGGTCTGTATTTAAGGATTTTTTGTGGTTATTGCTTCTTCCATCAGGATGTGCATCCTGAGGTTGAAAGAAGGTGATGAATTTAAAATAGAGGTACCACACACCCCCATCCTATCAGCATTCAGCCCAGCACCAGTTAAGGACAGGTCTTTTTAAAAGAGAAATTGCTTGGCTTGCTTCAGTATTCACAGATGTCTGCCCAGTGCATTGGTCTAAAATGGAGTGAATGTACCCTGTGAGTACATGTAAGGTGATTATCATGAGTGACATTACAGAGTCTGTGACAGAGCCCACATTGTGGTGCTGTGGTACAGAATAGGCAGTACCAACCCATAGATCACTGCAGAAATTAACAGGTCTCAATAAAGACCATTTACAAGGTTGACACAGCCTGTATGCACGTGTGCAGACATCTTCTTGTATGGGAGAGAGTTTCAAGTTCATTTAGGCTTTTAATCAAACTGGCTACCAGTCTATCAATGCCAACAAGAAGAATATTTTAGTTTTGATTTGCTATAGGCCATCCTGCCTGAGCAGCAGTATCACCTACCAAAGCTGCCTGCCGTCACACCCCTCCAGTTTAGGAAGGGTGACATGCAGACACAAAAAGCTTGATATTTCCGTCTTCAGTTCCAGAAGTCACTTAGTACTGTTTACCATATTTGGCCCCACTTTCTTAGCTGAAGGAGATAAAAGAGAATTTGGGCATAAAAGAAGCCGTTTGTTTCAATTCCTTGAATAGTACAACGCTTTGTGCATTTTTAATAAAAGCAGCTATCCTGCTTTGATAGCAGCCTCCTAGACAGCCACAGCTCCACTGTAGCTCCTTCCAAGCCAAATGTAGCTCTTCAGTCTTTGAAGATATTCTGAGATTGTGACAAAGCATCTTATTTCCTTAAATATCTGCCTTTTTCTTTGGGTCACATAACATGAATGTATTGCTCCAATTCCTATTCTCTGAGAACACATTGCAATTTAATTGTAGTGCATTTTCCCTGGCTTTCCAGAGATCTCTTTGAGAAGGTGGAAAGTTGGAAAAATAAGTGTGGGCTAAAGGACACAACCGGTTCAAAGCAAGCAGTCTCTCTACAGATGGTCTGAATCAGCTGTAAATGACGATTTTGATCTGGGTGTTACAATAACCATGCTAAAAATGCAACTCCTTTGCTAAGGGCTGCTTCAAATAACACCTGTTTAAATTTGATCTGAATTGACAGAGTAATTCCTTCCTGCTTAGACAGGAAGTTTCAAACCAACCTATCTTTAAATGTGACTGAAGATTTTGGGACAGACCACAGGTCTCCTGTGTCAGAGCCAAGAAGATATCATGGCTTCTGGTAGGGTCCTCAATGTCCTGTAAGCTTGGGTTTTCAGGTGATGTAAACAGGAGCAAAGGGTACAACAGCAGAGGAGGTAAGGTATGGCATTGAAGGCCTGGGTTTGAGCTGCAGTCTGGCTATATGAGGAAGGTCACCCAGTCAATCCACTATAAACAGGTCAGTTGGGTAGAGGAATCAAAGACAGCCAGCTGTGATATTAGTCTTTGAATATTTCTACCTACAAAATCTGGTGTACTTTCAACTTCTAGGAACAGGCTGACCTTGCACTTTCTGTTTTTGCTTTTGACAATCCTTGCTTAATTTCTGGGAATGCATTTGTCTCCAGATGTTAGACCTCACATAGAATCCACAAGATCATTTGCTACCTTTGAGCTTAAATTTCATTTAAGCCAGACTATATCAAGAATGAAAAGGCCTCAAAAAAAAAAAATCCTCTGTCTTTGTTAAGAAGCTGTTAGGAGCCCAGCTGCAAAATGGTGATTTCTTCAAAACAGAGCTAACATTTTATATAGGTCTTTTAAAATTTCAGCTTCAGAAGGCAGCAATAGCCTTTCAAGCTCCAATGCTAATTCACCATTGTTCTTAATTAGGGAAGATATGGAGCAAACACACAAAGACATCTCTTTGCTTGGTTCCCATTAAAATCTGCTAATGAGGCAAAGCACAAAAAGCGACCCACACAGGATAGAGACAGGAGAAGGGAATTTTAAGACCAAAAAAAAGAAAAAAAAAGAAAAGAGCGTCCCCTCCAAAACTTAATTAACTAACTATAAAGAAATGGTAATTGACATGGGCTGTGGTATCTGCCTACATTTCATGCTGCTGTCCTTGACTAGCCAAAGTGCTGACTTTGTTTTCAGTCCTTTCTTGCTTGCAAATGTTCTATTAAAGAAGAATGATGTTTTCACCCATTGCATGTCATCTTGCAGTTCCTTGTGTTGGATTCAAGAATTTCTGTACAATCAAAATACCTGTATGTTCATACGGGCATTCCAGCAACAGCACCTACCTTGGGCAAGGAGTACTTTGGCAGCTTCATCTGTGCAAATGCATTCCTCCTATAAGAAACGTAATAATGCGGTCTTCCTGCTGATGTCAACTATAAGAGAAGCAGGAAAGTTATCATCAGGATTTTTTAAAATATTTTTTTATTAATAGGGAAAATATCAAGCAAAAGCTGTCAAGGGAGACACCACAGTGTTGGTGGCAATGGCTTAAAACTGCAGCACTTTTACAGTTGATGAATAAACATTGATCCAACTGACAGTGGCTGAAAGAGAGAGCAAGAGGAATCCCATTTTCTGCAAAGAGAGACAAAGGCCAGAATTTCAGGTGAAAGTCTGGGGAAAGTGAAGTCCTGGCTTCACTTGGGCCATTATGTCACCTGCTGATACCACAGCTCTCCTCTGACTTACCACAAAACAGTCTGTTCTTTGCTATCTGCAGAGCTGCCGTGTAGGCTATTGGTTAGGTCAGCAGATTGGCAGACCTGATGTTTGATTTCTACTTCTGCCTCCAGCTTTGGTTCCTGTGTGGCCCTGTACAAGCCATCACATGTATCTGCTACCAGATCAGCTAAGCATTCACAACTCCTGAAGGCAGAAGAAGATGAGCTGATTTTGTGTTTCTGTGAATCTGGCCATTTATTTAAGTGCCTAAATACTGATGGCAATACCTTGAAAAGGCTAGGTTAAAGCAATGTGAGGTTTCATTTCCTACCACCTATTAAAGGGGTAAAAAATAGAAATAAAAAAAGCTGTCAATGTTATCTGGCTTCCAGTGCTGCTGAAGCATAATCAATGTTTGTAAAGTACTTTGAAATCCTTGGATGAAAGATACTGAGGAACAAATATTCCACGGGATCCTCCGTGCAGAACTTTGCTTTAGTTGCCTGATATCTGGACTTATCAAGATTTTTCTTTAGTAGTAAGTGTTTTAGAATGCACTGCAGTAGTTTAAAATGCAAGATACACAGAGGCTAAGTTCATACCAGATTAAGTAAAATAAGAACTATTTCTTATGCTAAAGCTCTTCAACTATTTTTTTAATGGAATTAAGCAAAAGTTAGGGGAAAGAAGGCCAGAAGCATTGTTTATGAGAGAGTGTGAGTTTGTAAAGAAAACACAGTGTAGTGGGAGAAATAAACCCACGTTCCTTTATCCTCATGTTTTCAAGCCTACTAATTCTTATTCCAAATGCCTTAGTTGCAGAAAAGCTAGATGGAGATCAAGGAAGGTAGGGAAGGCTAGGGGAGGGTGCTCAGGGTGTTCACCTATTCTTCCAAGCCTTTACTGTCTGGTGTAGGGGTATTCATCCTCTGAAGAACAGTGTCTGGGATAAGGCAGGGTCTAGTATCAGCCACAGCGTGATACTTAGCTGTTCTTTACAAGCCAGACACATCCATACATATATATGTAAACACTTGAAGAATCTCATTTTAAATTGCCAGCCAACAGTGAATTCACTGACTACTAGGAACAAAGCAGAGGTTGTTTCCAGGGATTACAATATTATTATTTCATATCTATAAATGTCAATTATTAATGATTGGCAAGTACTATCACTTTGACCTGTTATATTTATTTCTGTTTAAGAATCTTAAGAAGTTTAAGGATTAAAATAGGAGCTTTCCAAATCCAAATATTCCATGATACCTTCCCAAACTGCATTACAAACATGAATATATAAAGTTGTGCAAAGTCCCATTGGGCATTAAGGGGAACATCGTAAGAGACTGCCTCTCCTCACATGCTCCTCGTTACACCATGCAGCTAGCACGGAGGTGTAACAAAGCCGAAATTTGACAGCACTGGGAACACTATACAACAGTTTATAGACAGAAAGAGAAATGCACCAAAATACAAGGGCTATTCAGAAAGGTAGACAATCTCCCCAGCATTGGCTTCAGATGGGGCAAAGGGGTTGGCTTCTCTACAGTGTGCAATAACATCAGGTCAGAACAGAGAAGATTAACAATCTTGAAGAGCACAAAACCAAGGCACCAGTGATGAAGTAATGAATCAAGTCATGTATGAAGAGAAATTCCCCAGCTCCTGTGTCACTTGAGCCACAAACACACAGTCGTTTTGAAATTAGAGAGCATGCCTGAACAGTGACGCATGCCCCTGTTTTCCTTGCCATATGAACATTTATGCCTCAGACACACTGGGCACAAAAGCTATTATGGAACGTAGGTCCCAGATTTATTTGTGGATGATTTAAAATGGTCTTTATGACTGAGTTCATTAACTGAAGGTAATTAACAATCAACTCACCCAATTTAAAATATCAGTCCTCTCTCTACCCTCCACCCCCAAGCATGGCAGAATATAAACTGTTTGGAAGACCAGTTTAGTCCTAATGATTTCCAGTTCACCTCCATGTCCCGTGGAATTCTGTTGTTATTTTTTGTCCTCTTCAGCTGTTATTAAATGGACACTGGCAGCAGGCTAATGAAACCCATAGTAGTTCAGATCTATTCACCATCTCTCACCTGGAACACAGCTTGGCTGAGTACATCTCATCTTCAGCTTTTCACTATAATCGCAACTGAGGCATAACAATAAAGCCTGATTATTCCTTCTTTGGTTCTTCCCCTGACTCCCTCCCTCCTTTTCTATTTCCCTCTCATGCTCAAAAAAGCTTTGGTCTACTCCCTTGTGATAGCAGATGACTGACACATCACTTCAAGCTGGGGGGTTACAGCACTAATCCTAGAGTGCTGATGAGGCTGCAGGGAGTGGCAGAGAGCACTCCAGTACATATGGTGGATGCTCCAGGCCAGAACTCTATGACCCTACAGTGAAAAGATACTAGAGGTAAAAGGAACACTATTAGCATTGTAATAAACTGCTACAATCCACGCAGTGCCTTTATTATACTGATCTAGTGCTGTCTGATTAGTTGGGGGCTAGCAGACATGCACACACATGCAAAGGAAGGGAAGAGAAGATAACAGAATATAAAATAATAGAATATAAAATAATAGAATAAATAAGAGAAGAGGGTGTTCTGCACCTGAACAAAGACATAATCGTCCTGGACGATCAGGGAGTTATGGTCAATATAGCCTGGAAAGGGTTTGCTGCGTGTGGCTTCACTGCAGTTCTGCATCTTGCAGGTGATGTATTGGGCATCTGAAAGGAAAAGAACAAAACCAAGACACTTGAGATCCTGAGCACAGATTCTTCCTACTGTCACAAACCTATTTGCTGAGGCAGCGTTTCTGCTTCCCAGCCTCACGTGACATGAAGTGACACCATCCATGCAATGCAACACAACACTTTCTCTTACACCCCTCATAAATCCACCCTTGATTACTTTCTTCTAAGTTCCTTTCTGCTTCACCTGCCTCAGCCTCCCATTATTTCTTTCATTCCACCCTACGTCAGAGCTATATATTGCTCCTTTATACCAAGAGCGAGCCCAGCATAGCTGATCTGATTATTCCATGCCACTCTTGTGGTTCCATGCTGGAAGTAGACCAGAGGCAGCATTTGAAGGTGGCACAATGTAATGCTTGTGGCTCAGGTCTGACAGAAACCTAGTCAAGGGCATATCATTCAGCACTGTTACCTGCCCTGCTGAGTTTACTTGGATGCTACCCAGGCTTAAGCTTAAAGCATGGAACTGAGTGAGGAAGCAACAGAGCTGTGAAGGACCCTTTACAGAGGCAACAAACAGCCCAAGTCCTGTAACTCCGAAAGTAACTATGGGTCTGAAGAGCTGTGTCTATGCTGCAGGACAGATACTCTCTGTGCTGAGCCTTTACAGTTACCCTGTCATCCCCATGGTGTGGGATTTCCTGTAGAGCATGACAGCTTCTCCATGGTCACATGCTGAGTTTATTTAGAACGTGGCCAAGGTCCAGAGCATACACAAGTATGTGGACACCTTCAGAGGACACCTGCCCCATAGTGTCACCACTGAGAACCCCTTCCACGGCGTACCTCTGTATTTTCTACAGCACTTACACTGCAGAGTAATACAGATCACCTTGGAAAGTAATTCAGACCACCTCCTGTTCAGGGGTTTTACCTACCTCTCTGTTGACAGTGTAGGTAGATGCACTCTGGCAGACCTGGGCAATCATTCCACACTCTCTTGAAACTAGATGCCTTAGCAGTTTCAATCAGTCGTATGTTTCAAAGTAAATGGCCTAAATGCCCTAAAGCCATCTCATCCACTGTCACTGTATGGGATGTCCTCACCTCCTATTCTGAAGCACTGCAGGGTGCTCATCTCATAATCCATCACCTGAAGAAAAACAACTCGAATTTCTTCATGGTGGTAATTTATCCTAGAATACAGAACCAGATTCTCAGTATTCAATTTGGGCTCTTTCAGATCAATTAAGAAGTTGCTCTTTGTTTAATGACAAAGCTGATTTACAGGAAGAAGGATTTTAGCATTTTAGCACTAGCACTTATATGACAGAAACACTACATGGCATTTAATTTTAGAACTACTTCTGATCTTTTTCCTTGTTGGAGAAGCGCAGCCCCTTGTTTGATATAATTACCACTTTCTGATCAGAGAAGTAGCATTTTACACTGAAATAGAAATGGCTGGATTTTTACCATCTCATATTTAATCTTGGTTTTAATTAAAATCTATCATTTGACATTTCTTTCCTTGCTTCTAAGGGCTGTTGACTTCTGCTTGAAACAGACATGCAGGGTAACGAACCTTCAGGAAAGTTCGATGAGGGATGATTTTACCCCAGCATTTGCAGAGTTCTTGGAATATATAAAGTAAGTATTATTAGTCACTGTAGTTTATAACATTTTATGCTTTCGCAGCTCATTGCAAAACATTAATTAATACAGCCCAGACAGCATGATCGAAATGCATTTTCCTTTAGAGGGATATGTTTTTTTCCACATTAGCCACGAGAGGGCAGGGAACGACATAACTCCCAGCCTGCTCATTCCAGTGAGCTCAGGAAAGTTCCCTTTCAGAGGTGTTCAGCCCTCTGTCCCTCTGCTCCCAGGAAGAAGGGGGACAAGGGGGCCAGAGCCTCTTCCACCACCCAATAGTACTGTGTGGTGCAGCATGTCCCCTCCTAGTCAAAAGATGGAGAACGGGCATGCATCTCTTCACCTGCAACACAACCAATTCCCACTTTTCCTGTTAACTCAATTGTATCATGAAGGACAGCCCCCCATACCTGTCCCCACATTCATCTCCTCTCATTCCGGGGACCTCAGTGAAATGTCTGGCAATCCTGAGCTTAAACAAAGCGGCATCAGTCGAAATGGCTGGCCCCACCGCCCCCTGAGCTGTTGGCAAGACTGGGTGGGTTTTCACACATGGGATCAAATCACCCAGCGTAGAATCATAGAATCATTAGGGTTGGAAAAGACCTCTAAGATCATCGAGTCCAACCGTTGACCCAACACC